TCGAATTGCTGAAAGTTTAGACCAAAAATCATGGTAGACAAAATGCAATCCCAGGATTTAAGCCTGGGATTGATCTATCTGTTTCCTTAAGCTGATCCTAGGACTGCCTATAAATTGGATTGATTTTACAGTGAACACACACAAGAAATACAAAAAATTTTAAGAAAGAAAGTCTAGAAAAATTCTGGCAGTAAGGGTTTCTAAAATTTGAAAAGTTAGGATTTAGGGTTTAATTTATAGTTCTGAGTGTGATTCTAGGTTTCTAAAGGTGAATTTGAGGTTGTAAAAGGTTTGGGGAAGATTTAGAGATATTTAGGAAACTTTCTAGATTTTTTTAGATTTTTTTCAAATTTTTCTGGGTTTAGGAAGAACTTTGAATTTTTCAGCAAATTTTTCATATTTTAAGATTAATTTTCATATTAAATTATTTGGTAATTCATAAAAATGATCAAGGCTTGGATAATTTGAAATCAAATTAGTACCATCCTTTAGATGGGTATTGTGGGGGTGTTACAACCTTCTCCATGTGTAACCAACTCTCGAACCTAACATCTTTTTTCATAGACAATAATATATATCAGGTGGCCAATCACACCTAGACAAAAAAGATTGGTGGCGACTCATTTTCATCCATTTCTAATAGTAAGTTCACGGTAAGTCCATAGATCTATATGTTATAACAACAATACCAAATTAAATGAAGATAGTTTAGAATATAGGTTATCGAGTTAAAAACCATGCTAAAAACATAGGGATTGCCATATTGTTGTTACCTTCCAGCTAGCTTATACTTTTTATTTGGTAATAGAAAATTATATTTATGTTCATAACAACATATGTGTTGATAATGGCATTCTATGTGATTAATTATGTGATATAGATTAATACCTTAATTTTAGGCAATCTTTTTCAATTTTGTATACAATAAATAATGTAATGATTGGTTATAATCATGGTAGGATATATGATAAACTTACCATATTGTGGTATAGGCATTCAAGACATTTTGAATTTGGCAAATTTAGATTGCATTAAAAGACAACTTATTGCTAATATAAAGTTATGATTAATAGATGGAGATGTTTAGAAACCGGCCTATACTAAAATATGTAGACCATTTCCACTTATTATTTTCAATGACTATTAATATTAATCACCTTCACTAAAACCCTTTTGGTTTTGTTCATGTAAAGTGAGAAGTTTGATCCTTAAAAAATTTTAAAGTTTTTTTTTTTTAAATCCATTATAATTTTTTAAGAACTAAACAAATTAAGGTAATGAAATTAGACAAAGGCAATGAATATTGTGGTCGATATGATAAAACTAGGTGAAATCTTAGATTATTCTATCAAGTTTTCTACAAGGTTTTGGTGTTGAAGCCTAGTATTATGCTTAATATACTAGGTTAGAATAAGGTTGTAGTAAAAGGCAACTGCACACTTCTGGATATAAAGCGATATATGTTGAGTCATTCTACATTTTTGTAATTCATGTGGAATAAAGCTTTAAAGACTATAACATACATTCTTAATCAAGTTCCAAACAAAATGAGTTCCCAAAAGTCCTTATAAATTATGGTCAAACAAGAAGCCAATTTTTAAGCCACTTTCCATGTTTAAGGTTGTAATATAGATACAGGGAATTATAAGTCACAAACAAGAAAACTTGATAAGAAAACTATTAGCAGCATTTTGTTGCCTATTGTATCAATTTAAAAGATTTTAGATTCTATCATATATTGCATTATACTAGAATCATTGAGTTTGACTATGCAACCTATTTAAAAGATGACTTAGATAGTGGGAGTATTAGGTTTTGAACTCTGTAAAGTCATTTTTGTGTAAAACCATATTATTGTTGTGGCAGCCTTTTATGTGATTTAACTATTGATGGAAAATGCCATAAGTGAATGAACCAACTATTGATCCCAGCAACTTATTTCTAGAACTGCACTTGAATTAACAGAAGAACAAGATTATAGTGTTTATGTGTCCTCTAATTCTGTTGCTCTTTAGGAGTTTACTGATAATCCTAACTCCTTAAGTTTGATGCTTGCGAAGCAAGGTGAAACTACATCTGTGTTGTATACTTATGTGTAGGATCTATATGAATGACAACATGATTGAAATATAATTAATTGTTGATGGACATACAAGATTAAAAAAATGACTTCATAAGCTAGACAAAAAGGTTTAAAGCCAATTTTGTGATTAAAGGCTTTAAATGAAATAAGTAATTGAGACTAGATAATCTATTATATTGTTTCTACCAATAATTCTTTTAGAATCTTTATGGCATTAGTGGTTCATTTAATGTGTAGCTATATCAGTTAGATGTTATGACTATCATGAAGTGACCGAAGGTTTAGCGGTTTTTATAATAGAATATACTATTTATAAACTTGAAGTTCATTTATGGATTTAAACTGCATCCAGTAGATGATACTTAAAGTTTAATAAGATTGTCACTTCAAAGAAAACATTGTTGAACTGTTCATATATATGAAGGTTAGTGGGATTAGCTATATATTACGAGTAAGGGTGTACAATTGGTCGATTTTGTTAATTTCGAATTGAATTACACAAAATCGAATTAACTGAATTATATTATTTTATTTTCATTAAACAAATCAAATTTTTTAATTTCAAAAAAATAACCAATCGAAATTAATTCGGTCAATTCAATTAATTTTTTCGGCTAATCGAATAATAAAATACATTAAGTTAAATTATTTTTAAATTCTTAATTTCTTATATTTAAAGCAAATTAGAAAAAAATCATCCAACAAAAAATTCAAATACCAAAGTATTAATTCAACAACTTTAATAACTTGAAATGAAATGAGCAATTTCATGTATTTTTAGTTTTATATATAGGTTTTATTATATTTAGGTTAAAACTTCGATTAAATTGGTTTTCAAACCAAATTAACTAAAAACTAAAATTTCTCTAAAATCATTTTTGATAACCAACTGATATTAATTCAATAGCTGATCGATTAACCAAATTAAATTAGTTCAATCGTTTAATTCGGTTAAAATCGAATTTCGAAGAATTATGGGTGCTTTACATTGATAATATCATATTGCCAACCATAGACACTTACCTATTATTTAAGCAAAAGAAACATGTTATCATGTCATTCAGATGAATAATCTAAGGCTTCTATTCTAACTAAGAATTGAGATTCTTCATGCCAGATTAAAAGGCATAGTTAGTTGGTTTGGAAAAACCTACATTAAGTATGTGTTGAGTAGGTTTTAATAAGCACTAAAGTTTTCTTGGTAAGGCATATGTTGTAAAGAGTGACATACTATTAAATCTCAATGTCCTCATCGTGATAAGTGAAAAGAGCTCATATTGATTATTTGGTATTCTTTGACTGTGGTTAGTTTGACTTGTGCTTAGATGTGTGCACATTCTAATGTTGTTTACGCTAAAAGTGTACTTCCAATACACTTAAACGAACTTGTGTTTAGACATAAAAAATCCAATGCTTTGGATTTAGTTGGATATTTCAATCTTGCTTTTGTATGCCATTAAAAGACATTTTTGATGGTAATGGCTAAAGGAGTTGGTTTTAGGAAAGTGTGAAACGAACATGTACAACGTCCTTGATTATGGAAGTGAAACTTATAGCATGTTGTGAAGCTACATGTTGGACTGTTGGCTACAAAATCTCATTTCAGGGCTGTATTCTGTGTTTCCCATTCTAAAGCCACTAAAAATATATTTTGGTAACTTTATAGTAGTTGCTTTCTTTCAAATACTAGGAATTTCTCACAATTCAAATAAGTAAATATTGTTATTCAATTCATTAGAAAGAAAAATTAATGGAATCTATTATTGGAGTAAATTATAGAGCATATAAACAACAGAGTTCATTCTGGTGTAACCACTAGCTAAGATTGGTTGCTAATTGTTTTAATGACAGACACTTATATTAGGTTTGTAAAGCCTTATGTTGTATTGAATTAGTGGGAACTCTGTGTAATGAAATTAGTTGCAACTATGATTATGGATTCTTATTTGCCATATGTATATATATATATATATATATATATATTATAATCTACAAAATTCATTCTAATGTAACCATTATCTAAGATTGGTTGTTAAAGCATTTTGACGACAAACGCTTATATAGGTCTTGTAAAGCCTTATATTGTGTTGAATTAGTGAGAACTCCGTGTAATTAAATCAATAGCAACTATAATCATGGATTCCTATATGCCATATATATGTATATTTAGTTTGCATGCATTCTAATAAATATGACATTTTGTTGAATAAGACATTTTAGATGGGTCTCATACACTTCTTATGAAGCAATGAATCATTCGATTTAGATGTATGGACCCAATGGAAATGAATATTTGATTTTGATTTCATAACATTTCCACGCCACATTGATACCAATTGTTAGAATTAATCCAAACCAAGTCATTGATTTAGGCTAAAACCAAAATTTAAACACTAATCTCAAGTAGGTAAAAGTTAAAGCCCATTGCATGGAGACAGCTGGATCCTAGAGTTGGCCGTTGCTTTCATCTATTTTATTAATGTCACATAAAATTTTTCTTATTGATAAAAAAATTAACGATATTAATTTTTTCTTTCAAATAAGAGCTTAATTTGATTTAAATAAATGTTAGAAGTATTGATTAATTGTAATAAAAAATTAAATAATTTTTTTAATTATAATTCAAGAATTTTTCATACCCTTTAACTAATTTAAAACTATACCTATCTCCACTTCATCCTCATTTCTATTTGAATAAAACATCAAATCCTTCATTGAATTTTGATAAGATTGACGTCCTTGTATACAATTCATATTCCGTTGAATTTTATTTGTTGGGCTAGCGTAATATGTTTTGGTTGTGTTGGGTTTAAGAAGTAAGCCCTAACAAAATTTCCTTATCTTAAGATTTTCCCTGGCCCTCTTCGGCTCTCTCCCCGGCTCATGTATAGTTTTGGGCTGTCATTTCGTTTCCAATTAAAACTCAAACGACAACGCTTCACTTAAACCCTTCTCCTCCTGCATTCTTCACGCCTCCAGAAACCCCGTCTCTCCCAGGCTTCCCTATCTCCTTTTCCTTCCATTTCTTCTCGTTGTGCCCGCAGTGCAACCATTTCGAGTAAATCCTCCGATCTTATCTTCTGTTTCTATTGTCATTTTTTATGGAAAAAAATTGATTTTTGAATTGGATTGTTGTTGCAGAGATTTGGCTGTTATAAGCCAATCAAAGAGGAAAAAAGAAGAAGATGAAATCGGTTGTGGGTGTTGTCGTATCAAATAAGATGCAGAAATCAGTGGTAGTTGCAGTGGACAGGCTGTTTCATAACAAGCTTTACAACCGCTACGTCAAGCGCACCTCCAAGTTCATGGCCCACGACGAAAAAAATCAATGCAACATCGGCGACAGGGTACATCTTTTGTTTTTCTTTCTTTCTTTCTTTGGTTTAGTTTAAGAATGTCTTGTATTTGAGTGACATAGTAATATTCCCAATACTTGAATATCTGCTTTTTTTTAGGTTAAATTGGACCCTTCTAGGCCGTTGAGCAAGCGCAAGCATTGGATTGTTGCTGAAATTCTCAAGAAAGCAAGAATCTATACTCCCTCATCGGTGGATACTGTTGCAAATGCAAATGTCAAGAATGAAGCACCACTTTCCTCGACCTCTTAAGGTTGGATTCCATTTCATTGTTCTTGGTTTAAAAGTTCAAAGTTTTTATTTACATTTGAAAACCAATTACTGTTAGTTTCGTGCTTTTGAACGCTAAATTATTTATGAAGGTTGGCATTTGAGGAAAAAAAATTCTCTTTTTGATGTGTTATAAATTCTATTATATTGTTTTAAGATTATGGGAAGTTAGTTTGACCAACATTTGACAGCTATGATTAAATATTATAATGTTCCTATTGATAAATGAGGTTGAATGTTTCTTGTGCTTTGAAGATATTTATGATTACCTCCTGTAATAATATAAGACCTGACTAATAATGTTCAAACCAACATTCTTGTCCAGCTAGTGTCTGTTGAAAGCCTGTTCTTCTATGCGTTGATATGTTCTGCTTGTTGTTCTGTGTTGATGTTAGAAGGAAGATATGGAAGAAACTTTCTTTTCATCTTCTTCTCACTGAAAAAGAATAGAAGTGGAACCACATGTTATTTTAGATGCAGTTGAATTATAAGCTAACGGAAATATGAAAAAAAAAAATTAAAACACCTAAGTTTTATATTAATTATTTGAAAATATGAAAATAGAATGACTATAGTTTGGTTCAATTATAGACCATCAGCAAAGAAGGATGAATTTAATATTCAAATTTCAATAGCTGGGGGCATTGTTGACCTTGATTTGCATGGTGGTATTCTTACGTTACTGAAGTGGGAAATGCATGCTTTTAGAAAATTGTTAATGTGCTTCTGAGGGATCTTTCTTTGATAGGAGAGAGCTTATTTTTTAAATACCTTGTGCAAAAAAATTCTTCTATTGAATTAAGTTTTTTGATGCTTGCTTTCCACAATTCAAATGATTTGTTATGATGCCTTTACATTTCCACTTCCCTAAAACATTTAATACATCATCAACTGCATTTAAAACTTTCTCCCCTCCGTGTGGGTTATTATAGCAAAAGCTTTATCTAGCTAATGACACCTCAAACTTTGAATCTGAGAGTTGAATTTGTCTACACTTGCATTGTCAATGGAGTAGATATAACTTTTGCATTCTGTAAAGTTTGCCTACATCCTGTCTTGTCTATGATTTGAAATTCATTCGAGCCGTTGCAGTTTCCATAATATAGTTGAGTATTGGTTGGTTTTGCTTTTAATCCTTGAAGATTGTAATTTAGAGATAACGATGAAGATTTTGTTTTGGTAAGATGGCAAATCAAATAGGATAATGATTGTTAGCCCAATTAACTTGAGAGTCAAGATGTTAATGTCTGATAGTTTGTTTATTGCATGGAATTATAAGCTTTGAAATTTTCATGGTAAATGAAAGCCGTTGTTGTGTGATTCCGCAAGTATATGGGTCGTCTACAAGTAATATAGAGTGAAGTATGAGTTATTGTCTAACGAGAATTGATTAACATCATGCTAAGTTCCAAAATCGGGCACCATAATTATATTTAGACCTACCAAAATTGCCATGAACAATTAACACTACAGGTACTAGTTTTGGTTCTAACCTAAGCTAATTAAATGCAATTAAATTAAATTTACTCAACCTAATTAGATTAATTAACCAAGGAATCAGAGAATGAAATTACTAACCTAACAATTAAAGGTAAGGCAAATAACAGAGAAGGCATACTAAAGACAACAATTAAATTTGACTCTAATCTAATTAAAGGCAAGAAAATTAGATTGAATTAAACTAATTAAGTTAGTTAACTTAAGAAATCAAACCAGAACTTAAATGTACCAAGCTAAAAATTAAAACAAGGAAAATATTAAAGAAATGGACCTAAGACTAATGACAACCGCTAAAATTACTAATCTACTAGCACAAAGGTAAACAAGGAAATTAAATGGCATGCAACTAAAGGCAACTTAACTTGGAAATTAAAAGACCATTAAATTAACGACTTAAACTTAAAAGGGCAAGGAAATTTAAATGAAAAAAACTTAAATAACAAGGCAAATAAAGTGCTTGAGCATTAAACAAAATAACTACAAGTGCAAGAATTTGAAATAAGCAACTACAACTTAAAATAAATTGCAAAAGAAATAGAAAGTGGAAGATTCAAGTGGGTTGAAGCCTCCTTAGGTGTTGTCTCAATCTAAACACTTCATCCCCTATCCTAATCTCTCCAAAGTACATATGAAAAATGAAAGAAAATGAGCAAAACAGAACTAAAACAGAATGTGGAAAACAAATTTTTGCCGTGAGCTATCTAGGAGAATAAAATATGATTTCTACCTCTCTAGATCCCTAAAACTAGCCTATTCTCACCCCTTTGATCTTCCAATCCCAACCCTCCAAGTCACTCTTGAAATCCATCCAATCCCCTTGCTTTAATTGGCCAACTTGGATTAAAAACTTGTCTGGGTTGGTTTGACCTGCACAAGGATTTCCAGCTTGGCAGCAGCTTTTGTTCACTTGTATTTTCCATGTGATTTTCATGCTTGGTGGTCAAGGAATTCAAGGAGAGGAGGGGGGAACCAGTTGAGATGTCAATAAGCATGTGTTGAGAGTGTGTTGGAGGTGTGGAGGGTTGTGGCAATCACTAGATGACAAGTGTTAGTTTATGCCATCTTGAATTTTTGACATTATGTGGCTGTTTTGACTTTTTTTTCCGGCTTAAGTGGCTATCCTATGTGGCATTTTGAACTTCCTTCTAGCTGCAATTCCAGTGCTTTTACTGCCCCTTGCAAGTCTCCCAATCACCTCATTCATTCTTACTAAATTTTACCTACATATAAGACAATTAATCAAAATTAGGTGGATAATTAACTTAATCATTGGGATTTAAGAAAAAGTAACCAATTAAGTACCATGATAACTCTATAAAAATAATCACACACTCATTCTTAGAGCTTTTGTCTGTCCTCAAGCAAAATAAAACATGCTAGAATCAAAGTGTACATCTAATGTTAGCTTCCACAAAGTTTCCTTAAAGATTGCTTAATGAGCATAGCTTAAAGAAAATCACAAACATAGGCTAAACAGCAAGAATCATTTAAGAATAAGCCTTATTCTAATTGGATTTCCTCTTTGTAACGTCTTTCTCATTCATTGCATGAAATCTGATTGAGATTATGCAAACATGTCATTGACATAGAATCTCACAGAGTGAACAAGTTTCATGAGTTATCTGTTTGGATATCTCTCTCCTCTAATGTAGACATACACAAGATCAAATATCGTTAATACTTTATTAAGGTTGCAATCTAAGGCTAGGGTTAAAGAAGGATAAAGGATCCTTTGTGGCTCAAATTCTCTAAACATGCATTACCTTTTAGGATCTTTTGTTAATAACTTTCAAGCAACATCCTCAAACTATTTTCTTCTTTCTTTGTCACCTTTTATTCTATTTTTTTCGTTTTGAATCTTTTGTTAATAACTTTTCAAGCAACATCAACATATTTTCTTCTTTCTTTGTCACCAATCCACAACTCCTCTGCAGTAATGCTTCAAATTTTGTCCATTGACCTTGAAGGGCTTATTGTAGTTCTCAACAGTGAAAGGATTTGACCATTTGGACTCGAGCTTACTTGGAAATAACTTCAAGTGGGATTTACAGAGCAAACTTGTTTTCCAGGCTCAAAATGTCTCTCCAAGATCTTCTTGTCATGCCATCTCTTAGTCTTCTCCTTGTAGAGCTTGACATTCTCATGTGCTTGTAATCTGAATTTATCTAATTTGTTAAGTTGTAGCAAATGCTTCTCATCGGCTGCATGCAAATCAAAGTTCAAATTCTTAATAGCCCAATATGACTTATGCTCGAACTCTGCCAGCAGATGACAGGCTTTCCCAAAAACTACTTATATGGTTACATTCTGATAGGAGTTTTGCAGGCTGTCCTGTAAGGTTTATAATGCATCATCTAACCTTGTAGACCAATCCTTCTTTAAGGGATTCACTGACTTCTCCAATATCCTTTTAATTTTCCACTTTTGTAACAACTACTTTGAAGATCTTCTTGCCAAATAACCATCCTTAGACTAGTGGCCAAGTAGAGATTTTCAATAGAAAAATTAAGAGTAAATTGGAGAAGATGGTGTATCAGGAAGGATTTGTCCAAGGGCTTAGATGATGCATTATGAGCCTACAGGACAGCCTACAAAGCTCCTATCGAAATGTCTATTTTTGGAAATGGCATGGATGTTGAAAGTAAATCTAACAATTCTTGTATCCATGTTATGTCTATTTCGTGTCAAGCACGCATAAAATATGAAAGTTATCGTGTCTTAATTTGTGTCAACATGCCAAACATGAAATATATTTTTTTATTTTACCAAACCCATATATGTTTTTTCTAAAATTTTAAATTGTGTCATTTTTCTGTCTTTTTTGTATCATTTTGTATTGTATTACTGTGTCGTATTTAAAATTATCAGATCTAGAGAACACCATATTTCACCAAAAACTCATATCTTCCTCCTGATTCTATTTTGAAAGTATAAGCAAATACTGCAGACTCTGTTCTTGCAAGGAAATCCTCATAAATGCTTTACATCTACATTGGTTACAGCATTATAATTCATGTGGTCTGTAAAATATTTTGCTATGACATAATTTATTGCTTCCCTATAATCTTTTGCTTCTAAAATCATTTTATTTTATTCTCCACTCTCATACAAGGGGAATAATGACCTAAAGTTTTTAGGTAAATTATTGAAGAAGGCATTTATTTTGAAAATTCTGAGGTTGAGATGAAGATGTGGTAGAAGGTTTCGTTTGGTTTCTAACTGTTTTATTCTACTAGGTTCTTCTGGTGTTTAGGGAGTAAGCCTACCTTTCTCTTAGACTTGTGTTATGAATTCTAGGAGAATATTTCTAATAATTCTGAGATTGTTTTGGAACCTTTTTCATCTTGACCCTGCAAGAATTCTCTTGTGAGAGAATCTGGCATAGAGTTAGATTCACCTTTTGTGTATTCAATATCAAAAACCAAAAGATGAAATTATAGCTTGTCATCTACCAAATGTTTGCTTTGAGGCTAAATTCTTTAACATCTTTTAAGTAAAACATCTTTGGCTCCTAAACATTCTAATTAAAAATATTTTATTTAATAGGTCTTCTTAAATTTTAAAACACACATTACTATAGCTAAGATTTCTTTTTTTAGTAGTAGCATATTTTTATGGAGTATTACTCCAGGTTCGTGAAGTATAGCTAACTAATTGTTCTTTAAGTTCACCTAGCTTTCTTTATGTTTTAAAATTCCTCCATATCCTAGATCACTGTCACCCGTTTCAATAATTTTAGAAGCCTCTGGATCAGGGATTCTGCAAGAAATTTCTTAAACTTTCTTTTTACTTTTTTTTTTTGTCCATTCAGGTTTTATTGTTCGTACCCACAAGTATGTGGACTATTTTAGAAGATATTTTGAGCATTATCACAAGATGTTTAATATAAGTAGTAGAAATAATAAAATAATTTATTGCATTTAATTTCATAATGGTTTTATGACTAAATCGTCGTAATACTATGTTTATAGTGAGACATTGGCAATGGAGAGACCGAAATTTTAATAACTTTCACAAATATTGAGAACAAAGTGTTATTTTTCCGAATTATTAGATGGAACAAAATAGAAACTCTAAAAGAGTTAATTGACAAAACATATAATTTATTTTCTTAGTATCATAAATTTATATTTTCTTTCAAATTTAATGATAGCAAGTTGACAAGACCATATGATATGTCAGATTACATGATAATACATGTGACAAATGTCATTAGACGTGAAAAGCGCCATAACTGGCCATTACCCTCTTACAACTAAGTGGTGAAAAATCAAATTTTATAATTCTGGGTGATTGTATCGTAATTTTTTATGATCAGAAGATAAAAATAAAAAACTCAAATTCTACTAATTCGCTTGTAATTATCTCATCAATGATACTAGCGTCATGAATCCTGAAGTGACAAAAATGTAATTTACTGAAAATATGTTAGGGGAGTAAAAAATCAGAGCCAGATCAAACGGATAAAGGGGAAATAAAGATGTCGTTGACTTTGATAGAAATGTTTATTTGGTAGAACAAATTTATTTGTAATCTCATTTAAAAAAAAAAAAGAATAACATGAAACTTGTGACAATTACCGGAATTTGATTATTAGCTAGCCATAATTGCCGAAAAATTAAGTTGACCAACTCCTGAAAAAGAGTGAAAAAAAAAAAAAAGTCTTCCCTATGAACAATAACACTGCAATTTGGTAATTTAAAGTCAATCCAGACGACGTATTTATTATTGGTCCACACAATATCCCTGATTGTTTGGATAAATCATGTTAGTTATAATATTAAATACACACACCAAAGAATAATATAGAAACTAGTAAAATATATGATTATTTGTAACTTTTTTATAATATTTTATCTTCATGTATGATATTTGAAATTTAATTTTTGGATTCATAGCCTTTTAAAATTATCTTAAATCCACTCAATTCGTCAACTAACCTTACAAATCAACGAAATTATGTCACCTCATTTAAATTTAGGTGACAAAAATTAATCCAAATTTTAAAAGTAAAATGGTTCATTTTTTTTTTCACTTGAGCAAGTGTTTTGATCCCTTATTTTTGTCAAGCGGATATTCAAAACTAAAATAACAAATTTCATCGCATTTTAATAAGATTAACGGATCTAGAAGACGTGGTACCACACCTAAGTCTTATTGCTGAATTATAAATATGGACTACAAATTGCTGCCTTCCTTGGGTTAAATAGTATTTATTGTTGGTAAGACTGGCTCTAGATGGCTATTCATGTTATAGAAAATAGTGAAACTGTCAATCACTCGGTTGGTTCCCTTGGTGATGATTGCAGATGACTCCTAAGGAGGATGGGCTTCAAACTATCAAACCATATACTTCGTGAAGGCAATAATGTTGCTCATATCTTTGGCAAACACGGTGTTATTCAAGAGCAGAATTTTATCTTTTATAATTGGCCTCCAGGTTGTATTTCCCTTGTTTTATATCAGCTAAAGTTGTAGGGATTGTGTATTTCTAAAAATATGATATAGTAATATAATATAAAAAAATATGAAAAAAATATAAAAAAGTGATACGATTTAAAATTTAAATAAAAATAATATATGAATTTGATAAAAATTAAAAAAATATATTTTATATCTGACATTTTAAGCACGAATTTATCATTGCAATTTTTCATTTTTACACAAATATATCATGATATGAATACAATAGAAATACACAAATTAATAGATCTAACTAAACTCAAACTATTTGGATTAATGTGAGACATGAATTTGTTATTATAATTTTTCATGCTTACATATGTCTCACATAATATAAATATAATATAAATATACGAATTAATAGATCTAATTAAACTTGATCTATTTGGATCAGTGCTAATATGATGTGATTTCTTAATGCAAATTTGTAATGAATTTCCCTTTTTAGGAAAAGAAAAAAGATTAAATGAATTTAAAATATTTTAAAAACATTACAATAAAAAAATGTTTTAAATTTTACGGATTTAAAATGAAATATTATACAGAGTCCAATTTACTCTAGAAACAAGGCAATCAAAAATAAAATCTTGTCTGCGAGTAATCTGTTTCCATAAAATCATATGGAAAATGGGGCCACTGTACTTCAATATCACAATCATTTTTTTTTTTAAATTTATAAGTAAATAGTCTATTCAGTCCTTCAGGTCAAGACAGATCATATATTTAAAATGATTTTAATAAATGATCATCACAAGACTCGAATTCAAGATTTCGTTTGTGAAAAATATTTTAAAGGCGAGAGCTTTGAAGTTTGAATTTATTTTAGGAAATGGAATTATGTTGAGGTTTTATGGGTTTGAATTTTTCTTTTTTTTGGTAATGGTTTATTTCAATGTGGAAGCTAAGCTCGAAATAGTTTTATACAACTAATCTGGATCAGACTACATGATCAAAAGGCATGTATAAATGTAATGCTAATGCATATGACCAACCACTGTAGTATAGATAAATATTGAAAATAATTAATAGAAAAACAATGTGCTTAATAAAATGAATTCTCAATTGATGGTCAGTATGTTAGAAGGTATCATTGTGTTTCTGAAATAATTGATGTTAGAAGGTATCATTGTGTCTCTGAAATAATCGCTTACTTTGAGATCCGATCATGCCAGGCTTTGAAACTGTTTCCAAAAATTTATCTAAACCTAGGTTCCATGTTTTCAATACAAAGTGTTAAGCTTCTTTCCAAAGTACAAAGCACAAGCCTTGACTTAGAACCGAAATCCTTTAAACCATCCTTTTAAATATATAGATTGTAACTTAAACTTTAAACTTAATTAGTCCTCTATTTTTAAACTCTTAATATTACTTGCTTTTATCTATCTCTCCAATATTTAATACAATTTATTTAGCATTGGATTATATGTATATATATTTATATAGATTCTTTAACAATTTCTGTAACGAAGCATGATCTCTCATCCTAATATCTTTATTTGAAAAATAAAGAATTTAATTAATCTTGACTAGAGAAAACTCTCTGATGATACAACTGATAAGAAAGAAAAACAAAGCAAAAAAATAAATAAATAAATAAACTCAGTTGTCGTGTAAAAAACGACATGGTTTTTACATAGTTTAAAGTATTGCATTGGAAAATAAATTTAGAAGTACTTTTATTTGAAAATAAAAATACAATAAACCTTGGTTTGAGGAAAAAAACTGATAAATAAGTTTAAAATCACAAGTACTTTGAAAATAAGATTTTAAAAAATAATGATAAGATTAAAAAAAATCTATTAGATTGGTTTCTACAATTAATAAATGTTTTAATAATAAATATAAAATTTAAATCAATTAATCCATATTTAAAAAAAAAAAGATTTTTGGCAAGTTTGATATCTTATTTTTTTATTTTTAAAATATGATTTTTTTTTTTGAAAAAATCTTAGTGATGATAGTAAGATATAAGAAAATAATACTTTCCATATCTCTATTCACGGTCGATTAAAATGAACCCCATCCTAAGGTTTACAAATAGAGGTGGCAAAGCTAATATGAACCTGTAAATTTGTCCAAATTTAAATAAATTTAAATTGATTAAAAAAAGTCAAAGATCGAAACTTGAAAAAATTTGATCCAAAAAAATCTGAACCAAAAAAAATTTGAATTCATAAAAGCTTGAAACCGATGCAATTTGAATTCATTATAATATGAATCCGCAATGATCCAATCTCAATATCAATCCGATATAAAACTCGTAAAAAATCAAATTAAAACCCAATAAAACTGAAACTATAATTATATGATTTTTTTAAATACATA